TTAGCCCCACTGAGCACTTCAGACCTCCCTCTACCTGTGCTCTGCATCTCCAGGCTTTACATTGGCCTGGAAACCGAGGGCCCCTCTTTTCTTCTCTGAGGGCTCCCGACACCTGCTCAGCCTGATGCTGGGCTCACGGACGCCTGCCCAGTCCCCGGGCCTCCCTCTGCTGGGGCCCTGACGCCCCATGCTGGAACGGGCCTTGTCTAGCTCCACTCTGGCATGGCAGGCATCTTCTCTCAGTGGCTGCGGGACCCGCCTGGGGGAGCAGGGACGTCTGAGGGCAGCAGTTAGCGCCGACGGAGCTGTGGCACTGGTCGCCACTGTCCTAGACCCCGTCCTGGCTGTGCCTCAGACCTGGGGCGGTGGTCCTGGATGTCGGGGGTAGAGGTGGGGCTGGACGGGTTGTGCTTCTCAAACCACGTTCTTCAGGGTCATCGGGGAGTCCCAGCAGCGGCTCTGCCCTTATCTGTGCTGTGTTTTGTGCTTGTAAGTTCTCTGTTGCTAGAAAGATAACAAGAAAACCGAAAACCATGGGCCACAGGATCCTCTCTGCGGTCTCTGCCACAAACTGTAGTAAGAGCTTTTGCTTTTACTACAGACCATGGTGGACACGTGGTCTGTTTGTGGTTGAGCCCCTGGTCAGGAATGCAAACTCATCACCTCCTGTTTCCCCGGGAAAAGCCAGCTTTACAGCAAGGACCTCTCTATACAAACCTTCCCTGTGTGGATGGGCCCCTGCACCAGGGTTAGATGAGGGCCTGGGAGGCACCCCCCGGGGTAGCAATACAACTGTGCCGTGTGCTGGGCAAACCACACAGACCACCTGCTCTAAAGGCACAGTCCTTCCTGAACTGGGCTTGTGGAGTACCAGTGGTCCCCCAAACGCGTGTTCCTGTGGTCAGGTGAGCGTGGGCACCCTGGGGTAGGTGGAGCAGAACCGTCCTCTTGCAGGCTGGTCAGAGGGGAGGCGGGGCAGCACTCCCCTTCCTCTGGGACGGCTTTGCTCTGGGCAAGGTTCAGGAAACATGAGTACCGGCGAGGAAGCTGGATGCTGCAGGTAGTTGGTGGGAATTACACACTCGTGTATTAATTAATTAATTAATTAATTTCTGGCTGCATTGGGTCTTCGTTGTTGGGTCTTAGTTGCTGCGCGCAGGGGCTACTCTTCGTTGCATTGCGAGGACTTCTCATTGCGGTGGCTTCTCGTTGCAGAACTTGGGCTCTAGGTGCGTGGGCTTCAGTAGTTGTGGCACATGGGCTCAGTAGTTGTGGCTTGCAGGCTCTAGAGTGCAGGCTCAGTAGTTATGGCGCATGGGCTTTGTTGCTCCGCAGCATGTGGGATCTTCCCGGACCAGAGGTCAAACCCATGTCCCCTGCATTGGCAGGCGGATTCTCAACCACTGTGCCACCAGCGAAATCCCCACACTCGTTTCATAGATGTTCTGGATCCAGAAGCTGCGGTGTGCCCTGGTGGGACCCTGAGCAGCCCCACTCAAGTGAACACATTGGTTTACATTTCTCAGATGTCCTCTGTTCACTGAGGCAGGCTGTGGAGCCAAGGCCACCCTAGGGGCCGTGGGTGTGGGTTACAGGAGCCCTGTCAGGGTGGACAGTCCCTGTGGATGGACACAGGTGGACTTGCACATGTGGGACAAAGGAGCCCACCTGGTGCCTGAACCCCAGCGGTGGTCTCTGACCCTGTTAATTTGGGGGACGGGCGGGCCCCCTAGTTCAGTGACTAACAGCCTGTGCTCTGGGCCTCCGCTCTCCACCAAGTGGAATCTCATGGGACTTAATGCTGGTCCCCGCGAGCACCAATGAGCTGGGCCCAGTGCTTCGTCTTGGTCACTGGCGTCCATCCTTGGTGTGCACTGTGGAGCTGTCTTAACAGGTGATGGGCCCCTTCTCCCATGACTCTGTCCCTCTCATCCTGCCCCAGGTGTCACATATAGAGAGGTGCTCAGCTTCAAGCCTCCCCGACAGCTGGGGGCCAAGGTCTCCAAGGAGACGGCCCTGTGAATACCCCTGGGCCCTGGGCCTGGAAGGGAGATCCTGTTTGCCACTTGGACCTTGGCTGGGGCTTGCACCCCAGGAGTCCCCTCGTTCCATGGAGCCTCTTCTGGAAGCCTGTTCCCCTGCTCTCAGAGCCCACCTCAGCCTAACCTTGGAGGAGCATCTGGACTTTCTGGACAGGACGCCCACCTGACCTGGGGCTGGGCTCTGACCCCCTGAGCAGTGGTCCCCTCCCCCAGGGTGCAGCAGAAGCCTCAGAACCTGTGGGGTGGGATGGGGTTTGGGGTCAAAGCCTAGTCTCTGACCCTGCCTGCTCTAGACTGCGCTGAAAAGGAAGGACGGGAGGGTGCAGAGCACTGACTCAGGGACATGTCTCCTGGGGGCGTTGGTGTGGACGCTCCTGCACCACCCCCCTTAAATGTACATTGGCCACGTGGTGTGGCCACACGGCTGGAGGAAATAAACCCTTTTGTAGCTCCCACTCTGCTTCACTTCCTTGTTCCTGAGCTGGATCTCCACCTTTAGGCTTTTGTATAGAGTAAGGGGGCTGGCCTGGGAGCCTCGGCCCCATCTTGAGCCACTGGGCCTGGGCACCTCCTCCCTCCCAGGTCACAAAGCTGGTGCCCACCTACATCCCCGTCCTGTGCCAGTGAGCCCCAAGTCTGGAGCCCCCCACATTAGGGCTTGGCCCTGCCCCTCTTATGGGGTGGCCTTCCTCTAAGCTAAGACCCTGGAGTCAGACCCAAGGCAGGGCCTGATGGGGGTGAGGGGGTTAGGGTCCAGCTCGGGTCTCAGTCCCAGGTGTTTGGGCTCCCTGCTCTCTCCAAGGCCAGGTTCTTGGGGAGGTGGGGTCACGCTAGACGCCTCGAGGCACCTCAGGTGTCTCTCAGACGTCTGTGCCTCAGCAGAAGGGTGGTTTCTGTGCTCTTTTTCCTGCCCCTCCCCCGGCCATGCCCCACCGCCATTGGCGAGCCCGCGGGGCCCTATGCCGGCCATTCGACGTCTCCGAGGACTGGCAGCTGGATGAAGGGCCACTCTAGGACTCCTGCGCTCGCCCTGGCTCCCCCCACCTGTCCCCCGGCAGGCGCGCCCAAAGCGGGGCCAGGCCGTCACCCTTCTCCCGGCCTGGGGCTCAGATGGACGCACCCAGTTGGTCCAGCCGAATACAGTCAGGCGAGTTGCCAGAGTAGATACCTGCCTTCTCTGCCCAGGGGCCCTGCCGCGCCTCTGACGGAGCCCCGCCCGGGCCCCCGGCTCTCAGCGATCCAGGCGGGGCGGTCTGGCACAGGCCCCACCTTCGAGGCCACGTGCCCAGGACGGCCAATCAGCACGCTGTCCTCCAGCCGCCGTGATTGGCTCAGGGGCGGGCACGTCTTCCCAGAGCCCCGCAGGCCGCCGGCTACCCGCGCCAGCAGGTAGCCTGGCCAGGACGGTGGCGATCCACGCGGGGCTGCTTGCCGCGGGCAGCGGGGCCCTGTCAGGGCCTCCCTCTGCATCCATCCCACCTTGGGGATCGCCCCCGAACAGCCGGGGCAACCAGAGAACGGGACTGGGGCACGCCCGCCCCAGGGCCCCACCTCCTAGACTTCAGGGCCCCTGCTCACGTCCCGCCTCCAAGAGACCCGCCTCCAGGGCTCCGCCTCCAAGACCCGGGACCCAATCCGCGGCGGCCCCGCCTCGAAGATGCCCGCCTTCCCAGACACCCCCCCCCAGGAACCGCCCCCCATCCAAGCCCTGCCTCAAAAGGGTCCGCCCGGGCCCCGCCTCCAAGACCAGACTCCGCCCATGTCTCCGTCCCCAAACACCCGCGGGGTCCCCCCCCACCCCGGCTCAGTCCCCAGAAATCTCCTCCGTTTGAGGCCGGGGGCTCCCTGTTTCCTCCCCTCTTTGGCCATCTTGTTCTTGGCTGGGGCCGCGCCTCCTCCTTTACTGGCCTCATTCGTTCACTCAGTCATTCATCCCTCGCCCAGACACTCCCTCTGTTGGCCTCCGCCCTGCCTACCCCGACGCTGCGCCGCTCCTGTCCAGCTTCTCTGCCATAACCCTGACCCTCCGACTCGTCCGCTCTTCGGTCAGGGGTCTTCCTGGAGCTTAACTCGGATACTGTCACTCCCTTCTTGAGCCTTGGGGGCAGCGCTGCGCTGCGGCCCAGGCCGGGCTTAAGCCACAACCACCGTCCCCGGTCGAGGCTCTCTCCTCCTTGTGGCCTTGCCCCTAAGGACCCTCGGCCTCGCGCTCCTTCCCGCGCAGCTCCTCCCTGAGCCCTTGCTGGGGGGCCTCGGTCAGCGCTGGGCGCGATGGGCTACTGACGCGTCTGACCCGTGGCCTGCGGGGTCAGGGTGGGCCTGGGGGAGGCTTGGGGAGGAGGGGCACGGACCCGCGTGGCTCGGCTCATAGCACGCAGGTGGGGCCGCCGTGACGGTCCGCAGGAGCCTGGGCACACTGGCCCTCCGTGCTCGCACCAGTCCCCTCCGACTTATCGCAGGGGCGCCGAGGCCGGCGACCCTCTCCCGGCTCCGGCGAGAGTAGGAGGTGGAGCCTCAGCTGGAGGGAAGGGCGGCGTGGGCAGAGCCCCGAGGGGCCCAGTCTTCGGCCCGCCCCGCTGCATCGGGGCGGGGGTTGGGGCCAGCTGGAGGGAAGGGCGGCGTGGGCAGAGCCCCGAGGGGCCCAGTCTTCGGCCCGCCCCGCTGCATCGGGGCGGGGTTTGGGGCAGCCGGAGGCGGGCCCATGCCAGGTCCCAGTTGGAGGAAGCCGGAAGCCAAGCCCCGCGAGCCACCCTATCGACCCCTACCCCGCTCTGGCGCCAGCCGGACCTGGGGCCTCCTTCCTGTCCGGGCTCCGCGCCCGCGCCCCCGGCTGTGCTCCAGGCGTTGGGCTGCTCCCTGGGGCTGCCAAGGGGGGCGGGCAGTGCACTCACCTGCCTGTGAGTGGTAGTGTTTGGGTCCTGCCCACCCTGAGTGGCCCAGAGTGACCACGGTCAGGCCATGGGGACCGCACTTGTGTACCACGAGGACATGACAGCTGCCCGGCTGCTCTGGGACGAGTAAGTGGGACCTGGCAGAGGCAGAGGCGGGGTATGAGGAGGGGCTCTGGACTCTGAGCTCTCTGTCCAATCAGCCCCGAGTGCGAGATCGAGTGCCCGGAGCGCCTGACCACAGCCCTGGAACGCCTGCAGCAGCGTGGCCTGGAGCAAAGGTGTCTGCGGCTGGCAGCCCGGGAGGCCTCGGAGGCGGAACTGGGCCTGGTGCACAGGTCAGACTTGGGGCGGGCCTCCTGGCCCTGAAGCCGTGGTCCAGGACCTGGGCCTGCCCCAGCCTGCTGGTGCCTGGCAAACAGAGCCTACCCTCCAAGCCTCAGTTTCACCGTTGGATGGATGGGTGAGGGAGCAGTGAGGGGGGTGGTCCCACTGGGGGTCCAGGCCCTGTTTCTCCTCCGTCTGCTCCTCCAGGTGACCCTGCCTTGCCTGCCTGCCCCTTTGCAGCCTGGAGTATGTGGCCCTGTTGCAGGGGACCCAGGCCTTGGGCACCGGAGAGCTCCAGACCCTGTCTGGACAGTACGATGCCGTCTACTTCCACCCGGTGCGTGCCCTGGGGACACACCCACCACACCCACCACACCCACCCACCCAGTCACACATCCGGGTACTCGTGCCTGTTCACACGGGCGATGTTCCCGTGTGCCAGTGCCCTGCTGGCTGCTGCTGCTGCGGGCACCCGGGACTGGCCTGGCCAGTTCTGTGCAGCGCTTGGTGCCCTGCAGCCTGGCACAGGGCTTGGTAGAGCCTGTGAGGGGTAGTGGGCAGGGGGCTTACCTGCACCCTTGCCCTGGCAGAGTACCTTCCACTGTGCCCGGCTGGCTGTGGGGGCGGCGCTGCAGCTGGTGGATGCAGTGCTGGCGGGAGCTGTGCGCAACGGGCTCGCCCTGGTGAGGTGAGAGCTGCCCCCTCCCCTGGCCACCCCGACCTGTGGGTAGCCCTGTGAGGACGCAGGATGACCCTGACACACCCCACACCCCACTCCCACTCCCAGGCCTCCTGGGCACCATAGCCAGAGGGCTGCCGCTAATGGATTCTGCGTGTTCAACAACGTGGCCATAGCGGCCAAACATGCCCAGCGGCAGCACGGGCTGCACAGGTTTGTGCCAGTCTGACTGCAGGGTGAGGCCCAGGCCAGAGGGGAAGGGGGTGGAGGGGGCCTTTGAGGGACCCCACCCAGCTCCTTCCCATCCTGGGCCTGGCTCCTGGCCTGGAGGTGGGAGGCCCTACCCTCAGTGACCCCAGAGCTGTCTGTCCCCAGGATCCTCATCGTTGACTGGGATGTCCACCATGGCCAGGGCATACAGTATATCTTTGAGGATGACCCCAGGTAAGCTGGGGGTGGGGACAAGACCCTCCCCTGCGACCCTACTTTTCAGGATGAGCACTGCCCAGCCTGGGAAAGTCTGAGGGAACAGACGTGGCTGTGTGCTCAGTGGGGTGGGGTTAGGCTTCTGCAAGGAACCCTGGGGCTGAGGGGCCTGCCCTCTGGCCCCGGCTGACTGTCACAGCGTCCTTTATTTCTCCTGGCACCGCTATGAGCACGGGCGCTTCTGGCCTTATCTCCGAGAGTCAGATGCAGATGCTGTTGGGCAGGGCCCGGGCCTTGGCTTCACTGTCAACCTGCCCTGGAACCAGGTGCCTGCCCCTCACCCTGGGCCCCCCACCCAGAGCCCCTCCCCCAGCCCACATTCCCCCCTCCCCCGAGTGCAAGCCCAGGGCGTCGTGCCACGATCACCCCCAGAGCCCAGGCCCCAGGGGTGAGGACCCCGCCGTCCTCCCTGGCAGGGCCAGCACTGATGCCCCTTGGCTACAGGTCGGGATGGGAAATGCTGACTACGTGGCCGCCTTCCTGCACGTGCTGTTGCCCGTGGCCTTTGAGGTGACCGTGTGGGGGGTGGAAGCGGTCTCAGTGGCAGCGGGGTGGGGGCGATGCGGTGCCCAAAGTGGAACAGAACCCCTGGGGTGAGGAGGGTCTCTCTGGAGGGGCCTCCCCTCCGCCTCAGCTCCAGCTTCTTTTCTGCCTCTCCCCACTGGGCCCTGCCTGCAGTTCAACCCTGAGCTGGTCCTAGTCTCCGCGGGATTTGACTCGGCCATCGGGGATCCCGAGGTGAGGGCCTGGCCGGGCTGGGGAGGGCTTCTTCTGGAGTACTGGGGCCAGGGCCTCTTCACACCTGGTTCTGGTTGCAGGGGCAGATGCAGGCCACGCCAGAGTGCTTTGCTCACCTCACACAGCTGCTGCAGGTGCTGGCTGGCGGCCGGGTCTGCGCTGTGCTAGAGGTGATTGTGGCGAGCTGGGAGAGTGCATGCACTGGAAGCTGAGATGTGTTTGGAGGGGTCCTGCCTCGTGGGGCAGGGCGTCCTGCCTGGGCACCTGACACCCCTGCCCTTTGTGTCTCTGCCCCCTCCTTATCCCAGGGTGGCTACCACCTGGAGTCACTCTCGCAGTCCGTGTGCATGATGGTGCAAGCGCTGCTGGGCGACCCTGCCCCGCCCCTGTCGGGGCCCATGGTGCCGCATGGCAGGGGCGGGGGGCACTGCTGGGCGACCCTGCCCCGCCCCTGTCGGGGCCCATGGTGCCGCATGGCAGGTGCGGGGAGCAGGACGGAGGAGGGCGGGAAGGGCCAGGGGTGGGAGGCCAGGCCTTACTGATCCTGCTTCTCCTCGCAGCGCCCTGGAGTCCATCCAGAGTGTCCGGGTAGCCCAGGCCCCTCACTGGATGAGCCTCCAGCAGCAAGGTCAGCGTGGCCTGGGTCGGCAGGTGGGATGGTGCCGCAGGCTCTCGTGCAGTGGCTGTGACACTGAACCACCCCCTAGGTGTGGCCCCTGTACCGAGTCCCAGCCCCTGCTCCCCAGAGGGGAGGCCTGAATTCAAGGCAGCAGCGACCCAGGACGTGGCTGCCCTGAGCTCCCTCCTGGACCAGCTGCGCCTCAATCCCACGCCCCCTGTACGCACGGCTGTTGCCTTGACTGCGCCAGATGCTGCCCTGGCCCTGCCCTCTGATGTCCTCTGTGAGCAGGGGTCAGCCCCACAGGAGGAGACACAGGCCTGGGCCAGGTGGGGCCTGGGGAGAAGCCCGGGACCATGTCTGCATACGTACCTGTGTGACTCATCTGTGGTCTCTGTGTCATTCTGTGTCCTCGTGTCCTTCTGGTTTGTCCACCACAGGCCACATGAGGCCCTGGCCCAGGACAGGGCCCTCACTGCACTCGGGAAAGTGCTGTACCTTTTGGACAGGATCCTGGATGGGCAGGTAGGGGCACTGGGGAGGGGCTGGGGGGTGGCCATGGAGTCAGGGGCAGGGCCCAGGACCTCCCTGCGACAGGTGGCCTGTCCAGGGGAGGGCTGGGTGGTACAGAACCATGTGGACATGAGCATTGCCTTGTACCCAGGACCCTTCCCAAAACAGCCCCCAGGGCAGGGTTCAGGAACACCCCCCCCCCTCAGTTCCCTCAACAAAATGCTCTTTGGCAGAGAAGTGAAGGGGATGATTTATAGTTTTATGCATCTCATTTTCAGAAATGGAGTAATTTGACCTCAGTGCACAGGTGACAGCCATGTAGACATGGGCCAAAAGAAGGGGCAGATGGGTTTGTTTACCTGGTTTGGGAGTTACCCTCTACACCTGTTATTCACTTCACAGGTGAGCAGTGGCATTGCAGTCACCCCAGCCTCTGCTGCAGCTGCCACCCTGGATGTGGCCATTCGGTGTGGCCTGTCCCATGGAGCCCAGAGGTAAGCCTCACATGGCTGGTCTGAGGCTACGAGGCAGGGCCCATGGGCACCCCCTGCTCTGGCTGGCCATGTGGGAATGGCTCTGGGAATGGGCTCCAGGCGGGGTGAGTGCAGCTTACCCAGGAGCCAACTCTTCCTCCAGGCTGCTTTGTCTGGCTGTGGGGCAGCTGGATCGGCCCCCAGATCTCACGGATGACGGGTATGATTCTCAGGTCACGTGTATGTCCAGTTCTGCAAGCATGTGGGTGGGCACATCACCCTGGATCCCCAGGGGTGACAGGTGGGCAGGGCGTTCTGCAGCTGGAGTTTGGCAGAAGGGCCCCTGGGAGCAATGCCAGGAGGGTCTCCAGCACAGAGGGTCAGCAGTCTTAGCATCCCTGCCCCTGAGCGGTCCTTATTCTGTCCGGGCTCTCGACAGTGGGCGGCATCTCACGCACAAGCTCACGTATCCATATGCTTGCTTTCCCCTGGAAGGAGGAATCTCTGGCTGAACATTGGGGGCAAGGAGGCAGCTGCCCTGTCCATGTTCCATGTCTCTGTGCCACTGCCGGGGGTGAGTGGTGGTGTCACAGGGCAGGGCAGCTGCTGCTCATTGGCATCGGTATGAGGGCCAGACCCCTGGCCTTCACCTGCCCTTCCTGGCGGGACTGTGGGTGTGTCCACCCACCTGAGATTGGGAGGTGGGGTGGCCTGAGCCAGCTGGCGGGGAGTTCCCTGGATGAGGGGTTGGGCTGTGCTGCTGTCCCTCCCGCAGACGACTGGAGGGTTTCTGAGCTGTGTCCTGGCCCTGGTGCTGCCCCTGGCCTACAGCTTCCAGCCTGACCTGGTGCTGGTGGCGCTGGGGCCCGCCCATGGCCTGCAGGACGCCCAAGCTGCACTCCTGGCTGCGCTGCTTCGGGGCCCAGCAGGGGGCCGAGTCTTGGCCCTTGTGGATGAGGTGAGCTGGGCGGGGTGGACCTGCTGTGGGGCGGGAGGGGAGGAGAAACCAGCAACTCACTGCTTCCACCTCTGCTGCTGACTCAGGAATCCACACCCCAGCTTGCGGTGGTCCTGGCCAGGGTGTTGCATGGAGAGGCAGCCCCCAGCCTGGGTCCCTTCTCCATGGCCTCCCCAGAGGACGTGCAGGCCCTGATGCAGCTGAGAGGGCAGCTGGAGCCACGGTGGAAGATGCTGCAGGTGGCCAGTGAGGCTGGGGGGCCAGGCTCAGGATGAATGCTTGGGGCCTTGGGCGACAGCTGCCTTAGAGCTCTGTGGGGAGACGGGCTCACGTCCTGGGGAGTGGGGTGCTGCCCTGAACCAGCTGATAGCCGCGTCAAGCAGTTGTGCACCTCTCCCCAGCTCCTCCTTGAGTGCTGTGACCTGGTAGCTTGAAATCGGCCAGGGTGGGAGTATTTATACCCCAGAAAAGACACTACCAACTAGTCCCCCAAGAGCCTGTTGTTAACCATTCACCAGCACACCTCTGCGCCAGGCCTCTGTCCTGAGGACTAGGCTACGGGGCTGCCCAGGACCCTGGCTCAGGGCCTCTGTATCCCCCGCCCCAGCGCGGACTCCCCCTCCGGCGACCCGTCTCTGCACGGACGGCCCCTCCCTCGCTCCCTCCCCGCCCAATCAGTAAACGTTGGTTAGGCGAAAGTCTGACTCCGTCTCCCTTATTGAGCCCGATTTAGTTAACTCAGTTGATTCCGGCCACGGCTTCCCCACCCGTGGGGACGAGACTCCAGGGCGGAAGGGCCCTTGGTAGGCGGCCTCCAGGCTCCACCCCTTCTGCGCCTGCCGCCCGCCTCCCAGGTGACGCAGTTCCGGTGCGCTTGCTCCGGCTGTCTAGCTGGTCGCGCGGCGGTGACGCGGTGGCGGGCGGTGGGGCTGCGCGCTGTCCCCGGGGTGAGGGTATCCGGCAGGCGAGCGGGCGCGCGGGCCTGGCCCACGCTGCGTCCTCGGCGGTGCCTCTGCAGGCCGTCCCCTCTCCGGGGCCCCGAGAAGGCGAGCCAGGCCGCGCTCGAGGGCCCGGCGTGAGGAGGGGGCATGGCCAGCGTCCCCCAGCTGGTGGACGACCTGTGCGAGGCCCTCCTGCCGGCCGCGAAGGCTCACTCTGGCCAGCGCCCCGGGAGCCGCAAGAAGGCCAAGCAGAGCCTCAAGAGGGTGGCCTACAGCGTTCTGTTCACGAGCCTCTTTCAAGATGAGACCCGCAAGCTGCAGCCCGGCCTCCCGAGACTCCCGGTGAAGAACAGGATCCTCATGCTGTCCTTCGACTTGCGAGTGAGCGGCCTGGGCGCCGAGGCCGACCGCCTGGAGGAGTTGGTGGAGGAGCTGGAGGCCGCGCATCGCCGGCCGCTGGCGGAGCTGGGATCCGTGCTGGACCTGCTGGTGCGGCTGGCGGGCAGCGGGCCCCCGCGAATGCTGCGGCGCCGGCGGGACTTCTTCCTGAACAGCCGGCCCGTCGGGAGAGACGTTCCCTACGGCGGCTACGACTGCGCCGACCTGAGCGGGTTGGAGGCGGACGTGCGGTCGCTCATCTCCGGAGAGGAGTATCTGTGTCGGGACCTGGTCCGGAAGACGCTGCAGGTGATGGAGGCGGCGCCGGGCACCGGCCTGCCCGCCGTCGGGCTCTTCTCGTATGGCGACCGCTGCGGGGACCGGTTTGAGAGGGACACCCGCGTCTCGCTCTTTGGAGCCCTGGTGCACAGCCGCACGGCCGACCTGGACGTCCGCCTGGACCTGCCCCCGGTGCAGGACAGCGCGGACCTCTCCGGACTGGCCATCAAGGTAGAGTGTTTGCTTCCTGCTTCCGGCCTCCCGGGCTTGGGAAGGGCCTCGTTTGACCTTCCTTCCATCGGGGCAAAAGGAGGACAGCTGGAGTCCGGAGCACTGGCGGCTGAGCCGTGGGGACTCCCCACCCCACCCCGCTCCCCTCCCGCGCAGCCCCCGGCCACGTGCCGCTTTTCTCTTGTATTTGCTGTTCAGTCACTTCTTTTGCTCTCGAGTTGATGTTTAAATTCAAGTTCATGAAGATGAAATAAATCCGGTTCCTTCCTGCGTTTCAAGTGTTCAGTAGCCATAGGTGGCAAAATACATTTGTTCCTGCTGTTCGTGCAGTGTTATATACTATTTTCCCGGTACGGTGGGATTTTTCCGTTATTAAGTAAATTGTCGTTTGCCTTTGCATTTTGCGGCTTTGCTGAAAGGGTGCTCTGTCATCGTTCAGTTATTCCCTTACTGTGAGGCATTTAGATTGTTTTCAACCATAATGCTATAGCAAACATCTTGGCGGACGTGAGTTTTTCTGTGTCTGTGTGATTTTTTTATGCTGGGTTCCCCAAAATGGAATTTCCAGATCAGAGACATCTTGTGAAAAATGTCGTTGTAAGTTATTTTGAGGCTCGTAAGCTTCAACAAGCCTGTGTTGTGTGAAATTGGGAATTGATAATGATTTCGTTTAATTCCTTAAATGATTCCCTAGGGGTGAAAACATGGTGTACTACTTACGTGCTTGAGAAAAACAGAAGAAACGTTCTGCTGCGTCTTTCCCATAGAGTAAATGGAAGCGTATGGAAGTGCCCCTGGAACTCTCATCCCACTCGGGTGAAATCTAGACACCACGTCCAGGTGAAATGTCCTTTTCCCTTGGCCTCCAGGTCCCTTCGAGTGTCGATCAGTCGGAAGATGAAGGGTTCCAGTCAGCATCCAACCTGACTCCTGATTCCCAGTCTGAGCCGGGCGTGACTCCAGACATTGACCTGTGGGACGCCGTGCTCACCTACGAGGCCAGCAAGAGGAGGTGCTGGGAGCAAGTTGGATGGTTCGTGAGCTTTGCCTTAAAATGCACAGTGCCCTCCC